CAGCACGTCTCAGTGATGTTGTTGTTTATTGGAGTTTAGGGGCGCGCCGACTGCGGTGGTCATTTGGCACCCATAACGAGTATTGTTTTACCATCTATTAAGCAGCATAAATGGTTCCAAAGTTGATGTGTTTGAGAAATAAGAAAATCTGTTGAGCTCCAGGAAATCGTGAGTTGTCTCCAATCATATCAATCAGGGTAAGGGGCGAGTCATGCTGTCCAAAGTAACGTTGGCGTTCTTCCACGAGGCGCAGGCAAGACACAAGGACATGACGAACGGTGAGGACAGCGCCGCATCGATGGCAGATAGGTTTGTCGGCTCCCTCCAACATAAAGCCGTGGGTTGCGTACTGTGTCCGATGCGTAGTCTGCAGAGCATCACCTCTTCTCGCCTCATTTTGCGGAAACACGAAAACCACTGACCCAGCTGAGGTTTTATCTCTTTAAACTTATTACCCTCCATCTGATCCCAGCAACGCTGCCACTTGTCATGCAGGAAGGTTTTTATTGCAGGGTAAGTCTCTGGCAGGAATAGAGAGCGAACACATGGAGCCAGCGCTGCTCGCCTGGCAACCGCGTCAGCCACCTCGTTGCCCGCGATTCCAACGTGACTAGGGACCCAACATAGCATAACTTTCTTTCCGGCCCGAACCAATTGAGTCAAACGTATTAAAATGTCCTGTATAAGGGGACATGATGGATAAAAATACTTCAAACTCAGAACAATGCTCAGAGTCCGTCAAAATGAGATGTAAAGGTTCGTCGCCGACTTCAATCAAACATAGTGCCTTAGTGTTTGGTACGAGCTCCGATGTGAACACCGAAGCGTTTGGGGGCAATGAAAACGACCGGATGACGCCACCGCTTACAAACGCACAGCCTACACCATCAGAAGTTTTAGAACCGTCCGTGTAAGTATGTGTGTAGCCCTGATGTAACGCTAAACGCTCAAGCGCTCTGGACCTCATTATATCTAGTGATGCCATGACCGCCAAAACTCATGGTGTTGCATGACCTCCGGCACGGGT